TAACTCCAGAAGCTAGGAACAGAATTCAAAATGATCTTTATAGATTAGAGAGATGGACCAAAACTAACAAAATGAAGTTCAACAGTGACAAATGCAAGATAAGAAGAAAAAATGAAATGCAAAGATACAGAATGGGAGACAAGAGCAGTACGTGTGAAAAAGACCTTGGGATCCTCATGGACAAGAAGTTAAACATGAGCCAACAATGTGATGCGGCGGCAAAAAAAGCCAATGGGATTTTGGCCTGCATCAATAGGAGCATAGTGTCTAGATCTAGGGAAGTCATGCTACCCCTCTATTCTGCCTTAGTTAGACCACATCTGGAATACTGTGTCCCAGTCTGGACACCACAATTGAAGGGAGATGTTGACAAGCTGAAATGTATCCAGAGGAGGGTGACTAAAATGATCAAGGGTCTGGAGAACAAGCCCTATGAGAAGTGGCTTAAAGAGCTGGGCATGTTTAGCCTGAAGAAGAGAAGGCGGAGAGGAGATATGATAGCCATGTATAAATATGTGAGAAGAAGTCATAGGGAGGAGGGATTAAGCTTGTTTTCTGATGCCCTGAAGACTATGTTTGGACTGGATGACCCACGGGGTCTCTTCCAACGCTATGATTCTATGATTCCTGACACGGAAAAAATTCTGGTCCTATTAATCACTATTAGCATTATAACTTTAATCTGTCGGACCACCACTCATTGTGACTTTAAAAGGAGACAGAAATGAAGAACATCTTTGTTATATTTCCAGTGTGCATCTTAATTGTGTCTCAAACAAAGTATATTGCCTATTATCAGACCTTCTGACATGGACCCACCTAATCATGAGACTCTAATAGAGCTGAATCCCTAAATCTCAATAAAGTACAGCTGGAAATCTTTTTTAAAAAAAATCATCTTTGGCTGTCCTTTAACATTCTAGCCTTTCAGGTTTTAAAAAGACAGCTGGAGAAGGAGAGGGAATCATCCTCTTTAAAGAAGCCTCTGTCAGATCAAAGCTCTCCTAAAGCAAGGCAAGTTTGCGACTGGCAAAAGTGAACCTTCAGCGCTTCTGGCTGAAGCGCTGTTACAGCAAGGGCTCATTATGACCCATGATCAGGGCAGCATTAAGAACAGACAAGCATCCCGAGCTCTGAGGATTACCTGGGAAGGAATCCCACTGGAGCATTGCAGCACACCCAAATATCTCGGAGTCACTCTGGACTGTGACCTGACCTACAAGAAGCATGGCCTGAATATCAAGCAAAAAGTGGGTGCGAGAAACAACATCATACGAAAGCTGACTGGCACAACCTGAGGATCACAACCAGACACAGTGAAGACATCTGCCCTTGTGCTATGCTACTCTGCTGCTGAGTATGCATGCCCAGTGTGAAACACATCTCACCATGCTAAAACAGTAGATGTGGGTCTTAATGAGACATGCCGCATTATCACGGGGTGTCTGCGCCCTACACCACTGGAGAAACTACACTGTTTAGCCAGTATTGCACCACCTGACATTCGCCGGGAAGTAGCAACCAATAGTGAAAGGACCAAAGCAATGACATCTCCAGCTCATCCCCTGTTTGGGTATCAGTCAGCACGCCAACAACTTAAATCAGCGTTTCTCAACCTGGGGGTCGGGACTCCTGGAGGGGTCGTGAGGGGGGTGTCAGAGGGGTCACCAAAGACCATCAGAAAAAACAATATTTTCAGTTGGTCATGGGGGATTTATGGGGAATGTTTGGCCCAATGCTATTGTTGGTGGGGTTCGGAATGCTCTTTGATTGTAGATTAACAATAAATCCCAGCAACTACAACTCCCAAATGTCAAGGTCTATTTTTCCCAAACTCCACCAGTGTGCACATTTGGGCACATTGAGAATTTGTGCCAAGTTTGGTCTTGATCAACTCCCAAATGACAAATTCACCCCCCCCCCAACCCCACCAGTATTCAAATATGGGTGCATTGGGTACTGTAGCAAATTTGGTCCAGTGAATGAATATACATTCTGCATATCAGATATTTACATGGTGATTCATAACAGTAGCAAAATGACAGTTATGAAGTAGCAATGAAATAATGTTATGGTTGAGGGTCACCACAACATGAGGAACTGTATCCAGGGGTCGTGGCATTCGGAAGGTTGAGAACCACTGACTTAAATCAAGAAATAGTTTTCTAAGATCTACAGAGACACTCGCTGGAACACCTCAGCAAGCGAGAGTCCAAAAGTGGCAGGCTCAAACCCAGAACCTCAATCCATGGCTGATACCAAATGAGAGGGCACACAGAAAACTGGGCGGCTTGGAAGGTGCTGAACAGACTGCGCACCGGCACCACGAGATGCAGAGCCAATCTTAAGAAATGGGGCTACAAAGTGGAATCCACAACATGTGAGTGTGGAGAAGAGCAAACTACCAGACCACCTGCTGCAATGCAACCTGAGCCCTGCTACACGCACACCAGAGGCACTCCAAGTGGCCAGCTCCTGATCAAAGGACATTTAATCAACTACCAAGCTTGCAAACTTTGTGTTTTGTCTGTTTGTTTGTGTGTTTTGTTAAAAATGTAATACAAATGTCTGGTTGCTCCTGACACGATAAATAAATAAACTTCAATTATGAAGTTCAAATGCAAGATACTCCACTTAGGCAGAAAAAACGAAATGCAAAGATACAGAATGGGGGACACCTAGCTCGAGAGCAGTACGTGTGAAAAAGATCTTGGAGTCCTCATGGACAACAAGTTAAACATGAGCCAACAATGTGATGTGGCGGCAAAAAAAGCCAATGGGATTTTGGCCTGCATCAATAGGAGCATAGTGTCTAGATCTAGGGAAGTAATGCTACCCCTCTATTCTGCTTTGGTTAGACCACATCTGGCATATTGTGTCCAATTCTGGGCACCACAATTCAAGAGAGATATGACAAGCTGGAATGTGTCCAGAGGAGGGCGACTAAAATGATCAAGGGTCTGGAGAACAAGCCCTATGAGGAGCGGCTTAAGGAGCTGGGCATGTTTAGCCTGAAGAAGAGAAGGATGAAAGGGAGATATGATAGCCATGTATAAATATGTGAGAGGAAGCCAGGGAGGAGGGAGCAAGCTTGTTTTCTGATTCCCTGGAGACTAGGACGCGGAACAATGGCTTCAAACTACAAGAGAGGAGATTCCATCTGAACATGAGGAAGAACTTCCTGACTGTGAGAGCCGTTCAGCAGTGGAACTCTCTGCCCCGGAGTGTGATGGAGGCTCCTTCTTTGGAAACTTTTAAACAGAGGCTGGATGGCCATCTGTCAGGGGTGATTTGAATGCAATATTCCTGCTTCTTGGCAGGGGGTTGGACTGGATGGCCCATGAGGTCTCTTCCAACTCTTTGGTTTGTGATTCCTGACTGTGAGAGCTGTTCAGCAGTGGAACTCTCTGCCCCGGAGTGTGGTGGAGGCTCCTTCTTTGGAAGCTTTTAAACAGAGGCTGGGTGGCCATCTGTCAGGGGTGATTTGAATGCAATATTCCTGCTTCTTGGCAGGGGGTTGGACTGGATGGCCATGAGGTCTCTTCCAACTCTTTGATTCTATGATTCATGGTTACATAAATAATATAGAGACTAATGGTCAAAGGGCATTAATCAACTCACAAGTTGTTAACTTTGTGTGTCTGGTTGTTTTTTAGTTTGGCTCTTGAGCAAAAGCTTATCTGCTAGTAGAAACCCTACCATAGAATCATAGAATCATAGAATCAAAGAGTTGGAAGAGACCTCATGGGCCATCCAGTCCAACCCCCTGCCAAGAAGCAGGAATATTGCATTCAAATCACCACTGACAAATGGCCATCCAGCCTCTGCTTAAAAGCTTCCGAAGAAGGAGCCTCCACCACACTCCGGGGCAGAGAGTTCCACTGCTGAACGGCTCTCACAGTCAGGAAGTTCTTCCTCATGTTCAGATGGAATCTCCTCTCTTGTAGTTTGAAGCCATTGTTCCGCGTCCTAGTCTCAAAGGAAGCAGAAAACAAGCTTGCTCCCTCCTCCCTGTGGCTTCCTCTCACATATTTATACATGGCTATCATATCTCCTCTCAGCCTTCTCTTCTTCAGGCTAAACATGCCCAGCTCCTTAAGCCGCTCCTCATAGGGCTTGTTCTCCAGACCCTTGATCATTTTAGCTCTTAGAGGTTGACTTCCAATTCTCAACATCTCTCTTGAATTGTGGTGCCCAGAATTGGACACAGTATTCCAGATGTGGTCTAACCAAAGCAGAATAGAGGGGTAGCATGACTTCCTAGATCTAGACACTATGCTCCTATTGATGCAGGCCAAAATCCCATTGGCTTTTTTTGCCGCCACATCACATTGTTGGCTCATGTTTAACTTGTTGTCCACGAGGACTCCAAGATCTTTTTCACACGTACTGCTCTCGAGCCAGGTCACCCATTCTGTATCTTTGCATTTCATTTTTTCTGCCAAAGTGGAGTATCTTGCATTTGTCACTGTTGAACTTCATTTTGTTAGTTTTGGCCCATCTCTCTAATCTGTCAAGATAAATGATAAATAAATAAGGATAAATAAATGATAAATAAATAAGGAGCAGCATTGTTTTCCTTTCCAAAAGACCATCACATCGTTCTAAATATGAAAGGGCGAGCCTCTTCTCGTAGCCAATTCACAAGCTTGCCTTTCCCGAGGATCTCTGAGCGGCTGAGGGAGATCAAAAGGAAAGGCGGTGGCTCCCCATCCCTGCACCAGCCTTCCTCCAAAGGCGGATCAAGGGCTCCATCCTCTCGGCTTGCCAACGGTGGGACCAGGAGCCGCTGAACTCTTTAGGCAAGTCTCTGCAGAACTCCGGAAAGTGGGGGAAGGGGGAGAAAGTCCCCGAGGTCTCAAAAACACAGAACTGGAGAGATCAGCCTCTCTGGAAATGTCCCTTCGGAGAAGTCAAGTTGGCAGACGCTCTCGCTGTTGTTCGCCTCCCCAACACCCTCCTCCCCCGAAAAGGAAAAGTCAAAACAAGACACAACTCACCTTTATTTCACGCCCCGAAAATGTGAGCTCGATCGGAAGAAGGGTGTGTCGTTCAAACGACGAAAGGAGTCTGGCAAAGGGCCACTAGGAAGGGTATCTATCCAAAACCAAAGCGGGCGAGGAGGAGAAACCAAAGCCGACACCGAAGAGAAGCAGCAGAAGAAAAAGGTCTCGCCAATGGTCAGGGAATCACTTGAAATTTCCAGAGGAGCGGCACTGTGTCCAACGGGTCCTGCTGTAGGGCTGGGAATGGTCAGGGTTTCAGGCGGCGACAGCGGCGGCGGCTTTCTTGGTCTTGCTGCTGCTGCTGCTGCTGCTCCCTTCTTGGCTGTCAGCGGCGAAGCAGGCGGGCGCGCTCCTGTGCGCCACGGCGGCGGCGGCGGGTGGTCGCGGCTGCTGCTGCTGCCTGCTCTGCTTGGCGCGGCGCCACATGCTGGAAGTGGCTCCTCATCGCCTGCCTGCCTGCCTCCAGCCCGGTCCTGGAGGCGGCGCTGCCGAGGGGGAGGGGGGGAGCAGGTGGACTATGGCAGTGTTTCTCAACCTGGGGGTCGGGACCCCTGGGTGGGTCGCAAGGGGATCTCAGAGGGGTCGCCAAAGACCATCAGGAAAATACAGTATTTTCTGTTGGTTATGGGGTTCTCTGTGGGAAGTTTGGCCATATTCTATTGTTGGTGGGCTTCAGAATGCTCTTTGATTGTAGGCTGAACTATAAATTCCAGTAACTGCCCCCCCCCCCCCTGAAGACGGCTCGGAAACTTCAATTGGTTCAGCGGGCAGCAGCCAGGACTAACCAGGGCTCATTATCAAGAGAGGTCTACCCTCTGTTTAAGGAGCTCCACTGGCTGCCATTTATTTTCCGAGCCCAATTCAAGGTGCAGGTGCTCACCTACAAAGCCCTGAACGGTTTGGGACCACCCTACCTGCGTGACCGCATCTCCATCTACGAACCCACACGCTCACTCCGGTCATCTGGGGAGGCCCTGCTCGTGATCCCACCCGCGTCGCAAGCGCATTTGGTGGGGACGCAAGACAGGGCCTTTTCCGTGGCGGCCCCCCGACTTTGGAACGCCCTCCCAAAAGATCTCAGACAGGCCCCTACTTTGGCAGTTTTCAGAAAGAATTTAAAAACTTGGCTGTTCCGATGTGCCTTTTCAGATTAGGAATCCCCATCACCAAGTCCTAGAAGCACTTTAGTAGAATTAAGATCGCTGCACACCGTACTTATTTTATAATCCTACATTCCTCCTGCCACTTCAGCACTTTTAATTCCTGTACCCACTGCTCTGGCCGGCCCAGTTTTAAAGTGTCCTGATGTATTGTTACTGTTATTGTTTATTTTGCTTAACTGTTTTGATTTGCTTCTGGTATTGCTGTTGTATTATGTTCTGTTGTACTGTGTTTTGAGGCTTCGGCCTGTGTGAGCCGCATCGAGTCCTACGGGAGATGCTAGCGGGGTACAAATAAAGTTAATAATAATAATAATAATAATAATAATAATTCTGTCGTTGGTAGGGTTCAGAATGCTCTTTGATTGTAGGTGAACTATAAATCCTATCAACTACAACTCCCAAATGTCAAGGTCTATTTTCCTCAAACTCCACCAGGGTTCACTTTTGGGCATATTGAGTATTTGTGCCAAGTTTGGTCCAGATCAGAGGCGGCCCTAGGTAATTTTCAACGGTAAGCAAACAGTATTTTGCCCCCGCCCCCAACCAATCACTGATATATATTTTCTGTTCGTCGTGGGAGTTCTGTGTGCCATATTTGGTTCAATTCCATCATTGGTGGAGTTCAGAATGCTCTTTGATTGTAGGTGAACTATACATCCCAGTAACTACACTTGCCGCATATTTGCTCCCTTGCCTGGCCCGCTTTGGGTCCGGAGGCGTGCCTGAAGACCCCGGCGTGTGCACCAAAAGTCACCTCTTCTCCTGACTTTCTCCTCAGCCATTGGGACCGAGAGAGAGAGAGTGAGAGAGACAGAGGTGGAGATGCCCACCTTTCCTGAAGGTAGGCGCAAAAACCAAGGAGGGAGCGGAGGTGGGAGATACCTCCAGCCGGAGGGGCTCTCTCTTTCTCTCTCTCTTGGTCCCAATGGCTGAAGAGAAAGTCAGGAGAAGAGGTGACTTTTGGTGCGCACGCTGGGGTCTTCAGACACGCCTCCGGACCTGAAGTGGGCCAGACGCGGCGGCTCCGCCCCTTGGCCCACCCGTGGATTGGGGAGAGGAGAGGAGGCGGGTGGAGCGCCGGGGGATCGGGAAAGGGAGCCCATCATGGGGAAGGGATCTAATGCAGAGAACGATTGAGCGCCGGCTCTGCTCGCAGGAACGAGAGGGGCTAGGCGAGGCTCAAGGGCCCGGCCCCTTTGGGAAGAGGATCGCCTGGCAGCGAGGCAAGAAAGCCGAGGCTCCCCCCAGACTGCTAGGGCTGTTGTGAGCTGAGGGGGGCGCTCCTCAAGTGGCGGTCGAGGGGCATTTACAGAGGCGCCTCTGCACCCCTGGCAAAAAAAAGTGTTCTGCGACCGCTTACTTTGCGTAATGGACGAGCCGCCCCTGGTCCAGATCCATCATTGTTTGAGTCTACAGTGCTCTCTGGACGTAGGTGAACTACAACTCCAAAACTCAAGGTCAACGCCCACCAAACCCTTCCAGTATTTTCCGTTGGTCATAGGAGTTCTGTGTGCCAAGTTTGGTTCAATGCCATCGATGGTGGAATTCAGACTGCTCCTTGATTCTAGGTAAACTATAAATCCCTGCAACTACAACTCCCAAATGACAAAATCATCCCCCTCACCCCACCAGTATTCAGTTTTCAGTGTTTCGGGTATTTGTGCCAAATTTGGTCCAGTGAATAAAATACATCCTGCATATGTGATATTTACATCACGATTCATAACAGTAGTAAAATCACAGTTATGAAGTAGCAACAAAAATAATTTTATGGTTGGGGGTCACCACAACATGAGGAACTGTATGAAGGGGTCGCGGCATCAGGAAGGTTGAGAACCACTGGACTATGGGGAAACCCACAGCAGGCTGGGAACCCAGGCCCTCGTCCCCGCTGCCTCTCCAGTGCGTCTTCTGCTTCCGCCTCCCGAGTCTCTCTCTAGCTGGCCACATCTTTCTGGGAAGTTGGGAAGACATGATGCTAACAGGACTGGCCAGTATGACAGCTTGCCTGACCCCTTAAACCTTGACAGCCCACTCTTCATTTAAAAAAAAATCATTACATTTTAAAGAGAACCAACGAAATTTGAAAATACAATATTAAAAGAACTGGCTAAAGAAGGAAATGAGCATCAAAAAGGAATAACAAGTATTATATACAAAATATTAATAGAGATTAAAGGGGAGAGAAAAGGGATACAAATAAGGGAATTATGGGCACAGTCTGGCTTTAGGCCGGGACATGGTACCGAGACAGCCTTGGTCGCCTTAGTGGATGATCTGCACCGGGAGCTTGACAGGGGGAGTGTGTCCCTGTTGGGCTGCTGGACCTCTCAGCGGCCTTCGATACCGTCAACCACGGTATCCTTCTGGGGCGCCTTGCGGGGATGGGTCTTGGAGAAACTTTTAATAGATCATTCCTCGAGGGTCGGTCTCAGAAGGTGTTATTGGGAGACTCCTGCTCAACCCCACAACCTTTGTCTTGTGGGGTTCCTCAGGGTTCAATATTATCTCCCATGTTGTTCAACATCTACATGAAGCCGCTGGGTGAGATCATCCGGAGTTTCGGGGTGCGATGTCATTTGTACGCAGATGATGTTCAACTCTGTCACTCCTTCCCACCTGTCACTAAGGAGGCTGTCGAGGTCCTGAACCGGTGCTTGGCCGCTGTGACGGTCTGGATGGGGGCGAACAAATTGAAATTGAATCCAGACAAGACAGAGGTACTCCTGGTCAGTAGCAAGGCCGAACAGGGCATAGGGTTACAGCCTGTGTTAGATGGGTTACACTCCCCCTGAAGACACCGGTTCTCAGCTTGGGAGTTCTCCTGGACTCATCACTGAGCCTGGAACCCAGGTTTTGGTGGTGTCCAGAGGAGCATTTGCACAATTAAAATTTGTGTGCCAGCTGCAACCATACCTTGGGAAGTCTGACTTGGCCACGGTAGTCCACGCTCTGGTTACATCCCGCTTAGACTACTGCAACGCTCTCTACGTGGGGTTGCCCTTGAAGACTGCTCGGAAGCTTCAATTGGTCCAACGTTCGGCAGCCAGGTTGCTAACAGGAGCGGCACTCAGGGAGCACACCACTCCTCTGTTGCGCCAGCTCCACTGGCTGCCAATCTGCTACCGGGCACAATTCAAGGTGCTGGCTTTAGCCTATAAAGCCCTAAACGGTTCTGGCCCTACTTACCTCTCCGAACGCATCTCCACCTATGAACCGACTAGGACATTAAGATCGTCTGGGGAGGCCCTGCTCTCGGTCCCGCCTGCATCGCAGGCGCGGTTGGCGGGGATGAGGGACAGGGCCTTCTCGGTGATGGCCCCTCGGCTGTGGAACGCCCTACCTGTGGACATCAAACAGGCCCCTTCATTGCTGGCATTCCGGAGGAAGGTCAAGACTTGGCTTTACGAACAAGCGTTTGGCTAAATAGTGCAATGAATACACGAAGATGGTACTGAACATAGGATTTGGTAAAAGGATTATGATTACGGATTCTGATTCTGATTTGTTTGCTGAGGCCTATGATAATGATTGTTTGTTCTGGTGTAATTTGTATAATGTGCTTTTAATTGTCTTTTTGATATTGTTGTGATGATCTTTACTGTGTAAACCGCCTTGAGTCGCCATTTCGGCTGAGAAAGGCGGTATAGAAGTAAAGCAAATAAATAAATAAATAAATAATAAATAAATAAGAAGAACTGGGAATAACAATAGGAGAAAGGAATTGGGAAAAATTATGGAGAGCAAGGCACCTCAAGAATTTATCAATTAGGATAAAAGAAAAGGCCTGGAGAACAAGCCCTATGAGCTGGGCATGTTTAGCCTGAAGAAGAGAAGGCTGAGAGGAGACATGATAGCCATGTATAAATACATGAGAAGAAGTCATAGGGAGGAGGGCGCAAGCTTGTTTTCTGCTGCCCTGGAAACTAGGACACAGAACAATGGCTTAAAACTACAAGAAAGGAGATTCCATCTGAACATTAGGAAGAATTTCCTGACTGTGAGAGCCGTTCAGCAGTGGAACTCTCTGCCCCAGAGTGTGGTGGAGGCTCCTTCTTTGGAAGCTTTTAAACAGAGGCTGGGTGGCCATTTGTCAGGGGTGCTTTGAATGCAATTTTCCTGCTTCTTGGCAGGGGGTTGGACTGGATGGCCCATGAGGTCTCTTCCAACTCTACGATTCTATGATTCTTTGATTCTATAT